GTAACTCCTGGCCAATAGCGAGATGTTAGGTGACGTTAGCTCATTGACAACCTTATCGTTCCCCATGGCAACGGCGATCCTGCCAAAAACTGCACCAATCAGGTCCATCCAGGCCGGATGCTTGCCAAATTGTCAAAAGCTGATGATATCTTTAGAAAATGTTTATTTTTTACAATAAACCAAATTGAAGAAATCAGGATTAAAACAAGAATAGATCCAACAGCCACGTTAAAATATTTTGTGTTTTATTATTCTTATCAATATTTTGTTATTAAAAAATGGATTTTCAAATGAACTATACTTCATGCCAAGTATTTTCGCTTTTTTATAATTAAACGTGACAACATGGCAGATTTACGTCCGACTTCCTTCCGTAGACTCAGATCCGCTGGGCAAACAATAGGTACCTGGAATGGTCGCGCCGATTTATAAAATTGAGATGGTCCAAAAAAATTTTTATTTGGGGTTAGGAATATACCAAACCTCACAGCAACGAACTAGAAAGAGAAAAGTAGCCATCAGTATATAGCTATCTTTGGGCACACAAAGAGAGAGAGACAATGCCATATCCGACAACCGTGGGATCCATTCCTGTTACGTGTAGTATACCGGGCGTTCCACCGAAAGCTGTTAATGGCCTATATCTTGAAAACGTTAATCGATAAAGAAAAAACCCGTTTGAAGGGGGAACCAAAGCAAGGTACAACTTTGCCCCCTTGATGAGGTGAACACTGTCGATCGATCTTAAATCACATTTATCTGTTCCATTAGATCAAATGAGGTTTTCATCAAAATTAGACTCACATTTAAATCTGGATAATTTTTTTTTACAGTTCCATTTAGAAAATTGAATCATCACATGACCTATAGTACCATTCGGGATTTTGAGGTTAGGGTGGCTACAGCCGGAGGAAAAGTTCGCGGAGAGCTGAAAAGTACCTTGTTTTGGTTGAGTTTTTCTTTTTTTTTTTATCGATTACCGTTTTCAAAATACAGGCCATTGACAGTTTTCGGTGGGACACCCGGTAGGTACAGTTCATTCATTGATGTATTATTATACAAACCCTTTTGTTCCACTCATTCCTTGTCTTTCCATCTCATTTGCTCTCGTACGGGATCACCGACATGTGGCCGCGGCATATTATCCGCTCCCAGACGCGTAGAGGGGATAACAATATGTGCGTTCATGGACGCGTAAAATAACGAACTTCTGCGTCGTCTGGCAAGGATCAATCCTCGAAGAAACCGTCTCGCACTGGGTTTGTTTGATTAGCAATTTTTTTCTGTTTAATGTAAAAAAAAAACAGGGTTCGGCAAATTTTTCGAATTTTTTATTATTTTTTTTTTTGCATTTTGGGAGCGTCTGGCAAGGCTTCAAACCCGTGAAAACCGTCTGGCATTATTACAGCCTTGCAGAGCTGGGCAGTAGCTAGCTACCAAGTAGTTAAGCTACTAGCTTAGCTACTTTTTTGGTAGCTAATAACTTATTCAAGCTACTTTGGAAAAAAAGTAGCTTGTAGCTGTAGCTTTTGGTTATGTGCTTCAAGTATTCATAAGCTACTGTGAAAAGTAGCTAGCTACTAAAACAAGCTACTTAAGCTACTTTTGGTAGATAGTTAATAGTTATTTAGGTATTAATAGCGAAAAGTGTCATTTACCGCCCGATGGTGTGGTTAACGATACTCAACGCCCAAAATACTTATTACGTTTTATGCGCAGCGGACTCTTCTAGTTCAAAATAAAATAACTATACCTATAAAATAATGGCATCCATTCGACATTGTTTTCAAAAATAAACAGTTTTCCCCTTATAAACGCACGTTTCCACCAATCTATCGCCCGCGTTTGTATTTACCGCTCGATAAAAGTAACTTTATACTTTAATTGCTCAAGCTAAAATTATCATTTTCCGGAAAATTCTTATCCTGCCTTGCTTAGAATAGTTTCTAGTTATCTCTGTAGGTACCTATGTTTTATGTGTCCTATTTTATTCTCGCATTCGCAGATCACTGTGATCAAAGTGAACCTAATAAATTAATGTCCAGTTGTTTTTGACAAAAATATGAATACTAGGTCCTTCTTAGAGGAAGTTAATATGTTATTTTCGTATGATGATATTATGAAATTAAATTAGGTAAGGCATGTACATTGATAAAAGTAGCTTAAATAGTAGCTTTCACTAATTCAAAATGTAGTTAAGTTACTAATAGTTTAGCTACTTTTTCAAAGAGGTAGTTGAGCTACTGAGTAACTTAGCTACTCACAATATAAAGTAGCTTGTAGCTTGTAGCTAGCTACTTTTTCCAAGTAGCTTGCCCAGCTCTGCAGCCTTGTTAATGGCACATTTTTAAATGATATGCCGCAAAAATTGACCATCGGTAAGTATTTCGAATTTAGTGAATTTTTTAATGACTAATTAATTATGCCTACAACAAACTTCCCCACTACATGCTGCCAGACTATGGTTTTTGATCACGGAGGGTAAAACTACATCGTTTAAGCAAGAAATTGTCCATCGGCAACTTTTTACGCTAAAAGTTCACTGGCTCTTAGACTAATAGTTTCTACAGGCTCGTTTGAAATTTGCAAAATCGTATTTATGGTCTTAACTCATTTTTTTCAAATGGAATGAAGGTCGCTCATTAGTAGAACTAGAAAGAGTATTTTTTTACGAACAATTTGATACCACACAGTCGATATTTAAGTTAAGAGGATTTCTGAAAAATCCATATTAAATAATTATTTATTTTTCCCTCGATTTTTCCATAAGAGCATCAAAAAAAATGAACAAAAAACAATCGTTCATTGCCGGTAAAAAAATACTGTTTCCAGCTCTACTAATGAGCCACCTTCATTCAATTCGAAAAAATGAGTTAACACCATTAATATGATTTTGCAAATTTTAAACGAGCCTGTAGAAGCTATAAATAAATAAATAAATAAGTCTTTATTTCCAACAGGAATAATCCCAATTACAGGAAAAAGTACAAAAAAAATTAAATAAATAAAAATAACAAACAAACAAATCGAGAAACAAATCTATAAAGTAAAAAACAAAATAAAGCAGGTAGACACAAAAATGGTGTTATAAGTAGATGCGAGTAAACTATAATTAAGGCAGGATAACAAACAAAATCAAAGTATAGTATAACAATTGTAACAAAAAAAAAAGGAAGGTAAGCAAGTCAAGCAAAAATCTAAACATTCAGTCCAGCCTGAATTATTGATTGTATAGAATCGACATTCATGTCACAGTCTCCAGAAACCTCATTAAAAACTCTGCACATAAAATATAAAGGACTTCTGTATAACATGTTGGTTCTGGCAGTGTGCAAATAAAATGTCTCATTATACCTACCCACCAGCCTGGGGACCCTGTAATAAATGCTCTTAATAAGATTTGGACAGTCTATTTTAAGCATAGAGTCCCCAATGGTGTAGTCAAACATTACAAGCTCCTTAATCCGATGAAAACTGACTATATTACATTTAGAAACGTTAAGGTACAATTTGTTTCTATTACACCAAGCATTCAAATCATTTAAATTATGTTGTAAAATGTGACAATCATTCATTGAGACCACAGACAGAATCCATGCTGATAGACTGAAAGTTTGTTCCTTATAGGCGGATATATTTTGTTGTACATTATTATTTCAAAAATTTTAGAAAAATTGCATAAAATTGAGATTGGGCGATAATTGTTTATGCAAGATAAGTCACCAGATTTAAACATCGGGGTGATTTTCACTGTTTTCCAGACAGCAGGGAAGGTACTAGTTTTTATAACTAAATTAAACAAATAGAGTAGAGGGTCCGCTAGTATACCGATGCAGTCTTTTACAATGAAGCTAGGAATTTGATCTGGGCCAGAGGTAAGCTTATTTTTCAACTTCTTACTTGCATCAATGATATCTGACGTATCAATTTCTGAAAAGTTGATAATGGAGTCATTATTCTCATAAACAGTGTAATTTAAGTCAGGAGTAGAGGCAACATATACGTATTGAATGCGTCCTGACCATTATAAAACTCCTGACCGTTAGACTTCATTAGACCCGGTATTCTAGACTGTCCTTTTTTACTTTAAACAAATGAGCAGAAGTTCCTGGTATCGGTTTTTATAGCTTCTTCAGTAGCTTTTATGTGGTCTTTAAAAACTTGATCTATTTGTGTCTTTACTAGCCTTTTCAAGGACCTAAATTGCTCTTTGTGAATGTTATTTCCAAATTTTGAATAGTCCTTGCGAGCCTTTTCCTTTTTATAGATATTATCTATAAGGTTTTTTGGGTAAAATGATGGAAACCTACCAGTACGCTCGATTTTGAGAGAAACACAGCTTTCAAAAATATTTTCCAATATTTTATAAAGGGTAGAACAAGCTTTGTCAACAGTTGCGGAAGTATATATTTCTGACCAGTCTGCATGGAGGATTAGCTCATACATAATTTGAAAATTAGCTTTTCTGAAATTAAATTTCTTGGGAGGATTGGGGTTTAATTGAAAGTTATGAACCTGATCGACTGTTGTGCTGAATTTAGTAAGAATACAGGCAGTGTCGACGCGTGACCATCAGTCTGGGGGGGTGGGTAAATGGTACGGGGGGTTGAGGGGACGCCCTCCGAAAACGCGCGGCAGGCGAAATTTTCTGCAAATTTCAAGGTCATTCACTTTTCCAGAACAATTATTTCCTTTGTGAGAAGAATAAAACAAAACCAAAATTTATTTTCTTCAATATATTTTGTATTTTCTTTTGGGCATCCTGATTTTTCTCTTGATAATTCGATTCTGGTGGGGGGGTAATTACCCCCATTACCCCTCCCGACGCGACGCCCCTGATTTGGGTCTTCAGTAACAAGAGGTACGTACGTCATTTTTCTCAATATTGCACTTAAAGTTTGATATAAAAAGGCGAATCACATATTTTTTTCCTCAACTACTTGATCCAAAATCTTCCGATTTATCGAGCTCATGGCACTTTAGGTTAGAATTTTAAAAAAATGAATAAATTGAAGCTCAAAAATGGGGTTTTATTGTATTCGGGATGTCATTTTCTATCGAACTAAGCAAAAATATACTGGGTGACCCATTTAAAATAAGGAAGTTATAGTGATTTCTTGTTAAACCGGAAGTGACAGAAAATAATTGTATACGTCAATCAATCCGTATTCGTGTGAAATATCTACATATCAAATTTCATTTGTTTATCTTGAAAAATAAGGGAGACACCCGGTATAGCTATTTTAATGTATTACCTCTTTTAGGTCATCAAAAAAGAAAAACGCACAATCACCTGGTTGGAATTTTCAAAAGACAACCAATACCTGGCAGCCCTTACCGAAAACAAACAATTAATAGTTTTTAACACCGAATTCGAGGTAGTTAACAATATAACTTTAGCCAGAGTTGCAAGCAAAGTTTGCTTCTCGCCTAAAAACGACATTATCGTAGCAGACAGGACAGGAGACGTGTTTTTATACAAACTACACCAAAAGACCGAACCCACATTTCTTTTGGGTCATTTAAGCATGATTTTAGATTTGCTAGTTACGGAATGTGGAAACTACATAATCACTTGCGATAGAGACGAAAAAATACGAGTAAGCCATTATCCTAATGCTTATAATATCCAAACTTTTTGCCTAGGACATGAGGAATTTGTAACTTCACTAAAACTATTGAAAAACAGTGAAGTTTTACTTTCAGCCTCCGGAGATGGCACAGTGAGAATGTGGAATTACAAACAAGGGAAGCAATTAAATATTATTGATACTGGTAGTTTGGTTGATGAGGAATATTTACAACGATTTGCTAAAGAAATGGATTTGGTTGAGAATATTACAAAATTGCCTATAGTTGATATGCAATTGAATGAGAATGTTTTAGCATTATTTTTGCACAGTGTGCCTAAATTGTTTTTGTATACAATCGACTCGATAACTTTTAATTTTTTGGGAAGCATTGATGTCAATACGACACAATTTTCTTATAGTTTATGCAATAGCTTATATATTTTGTCAAAGAGTAAATTTGATATTTATTGTCCGAATAAATTCAACAAGGTGTCTGGCAAACAAATTGAAGACACAGTACTCGATTTAGTTGTTATAGACAACAATGATATTACAATTTTGTACAAGAGAAAATTTGATAATGTGCAAGAGTATATGGAAAGGAAAAAGCGTAGATTAGAAGCAAAATAAATACAATAGTTTTCATTTGAGTTTTTGTTTCTAATTCTATGTATTGTGTCATAATTGAAATTCTCAATGAATCTTTACTCAGTAGAGGTCTACAAACCTTGCAAATTTCAGCTCATTTGGACTCTTAAGATAAAATTATATTAGGTAATGTGGAGTGAATTTTTGGATTTTTCAATTTTTACTGGTTTTATTTCAGAGATTTAAGCTTCAAAGTGAATCATTTAAATTAAAGAATCTCCACAAAAAAAAAATTTTGGTGATACAATTTCTCAAACCAATGAGTGGAATTCTGCGATATGAGCGCAGCGAGTTCCGCAGCAGTCTGGTTAGAGTAATTTACTCATAAATTTCTACTCAAATTGGTTAAATTCATACTGCAATTCTGTGCCGAAGATTTGGATATGAATTATTGAAAACTTTGAAAATTCCTAACTCCAATAGAGGTCTACAAACTTTGTAAATTCAAGCTAATTTGGACTTATAGTTCCTGAGATAAAATTGCTCCAACAAATAAGAAATTAATTTTCCAATATTTCCACTTGTATATACACTACAATGACATTGTGCATACGAAACGAAAAAAGCGTAGCTTAAAGGCAAAATAAATACAATAATTTTCATTCGAATTTAATTTAATTTTTACAATAATTAGCTTAATTAAACTTAACTAATTAAAATCACAGGAAACAAACACTCAACTCCCAAATTCAATCGTAATCGTGACTGCTCTCACTCTGACCTAAAAGTGCGTCTTTTTCCTCTTCAGTTACCTCAGTAATTGTTTGATGTATAGGAATTTTCACTGTCCGATTATTGACCTTTTTCAATCCTTCAGTTGCTCCCGATTCTGTAAGGACTTCGTCCATTTCATCCTCATCATCACTTAATGCAAAATAAGGATTTTGCGAAGCTGGTCTGAATTTATACGCAGTCAAAACAAAAAAAGTGTAAGTTGCCATTTCGCGAAACATTTCGTGTAGCCAACCATATTGAAATGGTACAGTCATTTTAAGCAAATAAACAATAATTCGTGTAGAATAAATGTAGCAAACAACCATAACGTAAAAGTGTCTGAAAAGTTTCAATTTCCTGAGGTTTATAGCTGCTTTGCCATCAGTAGCAGAAGCTTCTTGTAAATGCCTTATAGACCAAACAACAGGAAACAAAATACAGCCGCAACAAAGCAAATCAACTAAAATCACCACATTTCTCCAAGCCAAATACTCCCTATCCCCTTCTTCGCTTTCCTCCAAAATTATTTCAGCAATATTGGCCAAAACTTGCAAAGGAATAACAACCATAAAAAGTTTCTTATCTTTTGGCGTCAGCACATGCTTAATAAAAGTAAACCCGGTACCTACAAGTACCAGCACTACAAACAACAAAGCACCCTTCAATAAATGAGCCACATAAAACAATATAGCCCAAGTGGTCACATGAAATCCCAACTGCTCAATGTAATGGTAATTAACCCCGTGAAAGGCCAAAGAGATGGCTTTGAGAAACACCAAAACTGCCATCATGTAATGGATTTTAAATACCGTATGTTTGGATTGTTTTAAAAGGAACACCCAAAACATTCCAGACAAGAAAAATAAAATCGCCATCATGCAATAGAGGGCTGGCAATGGCATTTCTCCTGCTGATAAATAATTGCCCACATTTGATTCAGTTACTTCTACATCTAAATCGATTAGGGTTTCAGATTTGGGATTGTAGTTGGGGCAGCTGTGGAAAAACAGGTTGTAGAGGCCTTCTTCTCTTAGAGTTTCCACTGACATGAGAAACTGAAAACATAATTGTTTGTGGTTGAACAATAATTATGAATCTACTTACAGAAGCATTGTAAAAAGTTTTTCCATTTAATTTAAATGAAACAATATCAAAGTTTAAATCTTTACAAGAATTCGCAGTTGAGGGTGTTTTTTTTTCGTCTTTGCCCTTATAAATGTGAATGGCAGTGGAGGGTTGATGGTCAGCGCATTTAACTTGTAGCCTAAAAATTTCACATTATTGATTCAATTCTGAAATAGGCTTATTATTGTATTACTTATTATTTTTCAGATCTAAAAGAAAATAGATAATATCTTCGTTGATATTGTGGTAGTTGGTAATGTTGGTTTCCAGAATGCACATATCTTGATGATTGTCTAAGTAAGGGTTCATGCCGTCGTTTACGGTCCTGTCTAAGCTAAATCCGAACTAAAAACAGTTTGTTTTTTGAATGTTGAACATAATTCTAGTTGCTACTAACCAAGGCGCTTTCGTTTTCGGGAGTAGCATGGAAATTTGATAGTTTCACTTCCAAGGTGCCTCCTTCGTAGAAACCGAAAGTACTGAGGGCGATATATCGTCTAGCATCATTCTGCATTATTAATTAATTGATTATTTAGGTTTTTAATTGATAAAATACTTACTCTGATTTCCAGTTTATGGATTCTGGCAGAACACGTAGACAGGCACAGGAAAATAAGAAAATTAGTGAGGGGTAAGTACATTTTTGGATTTCTTAGCTATATTATATTAATTACATTGGTTATGTATGTGTAATATGTGGCTGGATTTTGAACATTTAACTGCAAATAATGATTTCCAAAATATAAAAATTGTCAGGAAAAACCTTAAAAACCAAAACAAATCGTATGACATCTATCTATGTCAAAAGAAAATTTGAGGTTATGGAAAGGAAAATTCAATATGGCGTGGCGGCCAAGCAAGTTTGTTTTGTATATGTTTTTATGCGTATTTTAAATTACCCGATCAGCTGTTTGTATTTTATCTTCGTTTGATGAATACGATTGAAAAAAGACAAAGGATATCAGCTGGGGCGAGTTCAGAAATAACACACCGGGTGTGAGTGCGATTTTATGGGTGTGACTGAAATGACAATAGGGTACTTGCATGGAAAATTAAATTGATTATTGTTTATTGCAAACTGTAGGAAATCGAAAAAAAAACGTAACTTTTTTTTTATTCCGCCCAAATATGATTATTCCGGAAGTTATACAAATATTAAGTTTTTATATATATAGATATACTGAGCATGTGCGACGTCACAACTCACAACGTATTATACCTAAGTTATGACGTCGGAAGGACATTTCAAAGTGTTGTATCTCCGTCAATTTTTGACTAACAAGAAAAAGAAAAAACACGTGTTGACTTATTTTTCATGGACTATCGAAATCAGCAATAAAAAAATTTGATGCAAGGGGCCTATTCTTGGGCGACAACTTTCGTGTGAATTTCTGAACGCTTGGTGTGACCAATCGAGCATCTCCTCAAAAATTTCACGAAATCTATTAGGATTACTTTTTTTTGTTGTTCATTTTTTTAAGTTGAAGGAAAAACTTTAATTCTTATTTGTGTTTTGTTTATATTCGGTGGGATTATTGAGATTATGGGAGGAATGATTGACATTGTTGACAAAAAGACACAATCACACCGCAGTCAGTCACACCAAAAAATTATGGTATGACCGGTGCGACACCTAGAGCGCGCCCAAAGTACTTTCTGAACGGCACAGAGTGCGCACACTCGGTGTGCCTGCAGTGGCGTAGCCAGTAGGGGGGCGACGCCCCCCCCCCCCCCGCCTCTGCATGTACGGCGCCCCTACCGCTCTTAAAAAACAAAAGCAAAAATTAAGAAATTATAAAATTACATTGTTTCTTATTTATTTTGTTGACCTCTTCATAGTCTTCACCCTTTATTCTTTCTCATAAGTCGTTATTGTCGGCAAATGCCTGATACATATTTATTTATTTTCATTTCAGTTTCTGATCTGTTCTATTACCTACATTATAATTTCTAAAAAACAATTATTATGAATTTCCATTTATTTATTTGTTGATTAAACTAGGGGTTTCGGTTAATGGATTGGGTGGGGCTGTCATTCTTCCGGATTCCCCCTAGATTCTTCTAGTTCTGAAGGCGTCTGAAGACGTCCGGGATGATTTTTTGAACTAATCCGTGTCTAACGGCATCTTCACATATTATTTTTTTCAAGGCTTGAAATAAATGTTTTTTGCAGCCGAAAAAAAGCTGTTTTTGAAGGCTTAAAATAAACTTTTTTGGGCGTGGCATTCGGGCAAATTTTTCGCCTCCGGCGGCGCCTGCGTCCGGCTTTTCGTCTCTAATATTTTCCCCCAATAAGCAAATTTTACAAAAGCAAACAAACAATTTGTTGCCCGCTCCCCCACGTCCTTGCATAATTATGCGCCCCCCGAGGCGCCCCCTTATATGTTTGCCCTCACCGCTCCGCAAGGCTGGCTACGCCACTGTGTGCCTATAGCATTTATGAACGGCTAGTGCGTCGCACCGGTGTCACACTCACACTGAGTGTGTCATTCCCGAACTCACCCCTGGTGATCCGGTCAATCGGATCAGCGTTTCCGAAAAGGCCTTGCGTCAACAAGAAATTCAAAATGGAGGCCAATGCCATAAGCACTACGTTTTATTGTGATTTTTGATTTGTGTAAAGTCTGTAAAGTGTTGATTTTTTGGAAAATGCATACGTTATAAAGTGTACTTAGTTGTGGGAGCCGTTCTATCGCGAGAAAGTCTTGTTTTATGTCGTTCCTGCAGGGACAAAACACAGGTTCTTAAAGCCGATTTTACAATGGACGTAACGTATCCGTAATGACGTAACATAAGTTCTGAGCATGTGCATATCAGAGTTATTTGCGTCAAATATGTTACCGGAAAAGCAACGTAAGAGAGATGAGAGTTGGTCACATCTTACGTTGCGTTTCCGGTAACATATTTGACGCAAATAACTCTGATATGCGTATATGGTTAGGACTTATGTTACGTCTTTACGCCGGTTACGTTACGTCCATTGTAAAATCGGCTTGACGGAGAAAAACGATTTCTTTGTACTTTGCAGGGCTTCATGGATTGCAGTAAAAGAGAAAAAATCTGACGAAATCCATATTAACAAATCAAAAAGTCTCTCCACATAAATGATGTATGGATCCAAACCATTTACTATCCTGACCTCCACCTCGTCCTCAACTTGTATCGATACCTTAAATAGCAGATAAATAAAATAAACATCAGGATTTACGATTTGGTAAAGAAAAAACTCAACAGGAAACGAAATCCTTGAATCCGGGTTTTCCACCTATAATTTCTTAAACTTAAAACTTTCCATATTAAAATACGGAAATTATCCGCCAAGCACTAGAAAATCATTTTAAAACACAAAATACACAAAAACAGTTTTTTGATGAAAAATGTCAGGGTTGTTTGAATTAAATTTATGGCGCCAATTTTTTGGCATTAGCCGCCATTTTGATTGGATTGCCCTAAAAGCAATAGCTCTTTTCACGTGGCTCCGGTTTAAACTAACCGGGTTACAAAACGGTTAAAGAAATGACATACCGTTTTCTAACCCGGTTACCGGTTACAAAGTGACGTGATGGATATCTACCCTACCACTGGAATTTGAGCGGCATGTTGCGGTTTGTTAAACCGGAGCCACGTGAAAAGGATTAATCCAATCCATCTGTCAATACGAAAAATTCAATATGGCGTGGCGGCCAGCAAGTTAGTTCTGAATATGTGTTTTCATGCATATTTCAATTATTTTGCTTCTAGTTTTGCTTGCAGCTTTGATTTCAATTAATTTTTGTTTACTAGGTATGTAATAGTATATTACATGCGGAGGTGGAAAGTGTTTCATTATTGCGGGTATTATAAAACAGCTTTGAGAGTTAACTTAAAGTTAACTTCTGGAATTACACGTAAGGGCGGGTATTATTATAAAACTACTTTGAGAGTTAACTTAAAGTTAACTTCTGGAATTACATGTAATTCAAAAAGTTAACTTCAAGTTAACTGTCAAAGCAGTTTTATAATACCCACCCTAAGTCGGGCAGAAACTAGATGTATAAAGGTTTGCGACAATCGCACAGAAATCTTAACTTTTGCAAACACCCGGGTTTTCCACTAATAATTTCTTAAACTAAAAACTCTCCATCCTAAAATACGAAAATTATCCTTCCAAGCACTAGAAAATCATTTTAAAACACCACGGTTGTTGGAATTAAATTTGTGGCGCCAATTTTCTGGTATTGGCCGCCATTGGGGTGCTGAACTGTGTCAGCACAAACCTGAAATATCTTGCGCTCAGTTCAAGTTTTTTAGTGCCACACAAGTCAGAAACATACAAATCTCAAGTATCACAACGTCTATGATCATAACGGTATCACGTAGTTAGTAGCCAAGGATAAAACACACTACTATCTACAGCATAGCCTATTCTCATAAGGCCTGTGTAGAACAAATTTGATGCCCCCACAACGCCAAATCACCAGTTGTGACGTAGCCAGCATGTCGTTTCTCGCCTTGGCGTAGGCTGTTTGCACCCATATGATTCCGTGGGCTTTTGCTTTATGCTTTTTACTGAGACGTTTTCTCGCGTCTCAAATATGTTTCAAAACATTTTTCAAAACTGGTTTAAGTAATAATGTCACCATGACGTCATAATTTCTCGGCGCGAGAAAATGATTTGAAAACGTGGATTGGATTATATTTCGAAACGGTTTGAACCAATTTTGACGTGACGTCATGGATTTATCGCGAGAATGTAGTTTTTCAAAACAGTTTTGAACCAGTTTCAACGAGACGCGAGAAAACGCCTCTGGTTTTACTTAAGTGACCATCCGTCCCGAGGTGGGATTTAATAGGCGTCCTGCTTTTGTCCCGCTTTCCAATACATTCTAACTACATATCAACTTTTCATTAGGTATTCATTTATTTTAAATCAAATTAAAAAACTATTGCGTTCAATAGTTATATTGAATTGTTAATTCAAATGTATAAGTTTTCGCAGATTTCAGAGCTCACAAGTCATAATAGTCAGAACCATTAGCGTTGAACTCTGCTTGAGCATTTTCAATAGTTATATCCCTTTCACACCTAGGAGGAGCTCCGGAACAGCTCCGGGGCTTCACGCGCTTATTCCTTTCGAAAAGTGTTTGTTGCACCACGCATATGTTCCCTGCAAATCGGGGGCGACTAAGCACCGAAGCGAGTAGCTCGAGTGTTTCAAGCTCTTGAAAGGAATACAACTAATGTCCTCATTGTCCTCTCCGGTTGCATCTTTGTGAAGGACTGTGAAACTTCTTGGGTGGCGGTCTGATATTTGGACGACAATGGGGAGTGATTTGAAAAACGCGTCACGGGCAAATTTCGTTACTCGAGAGAGAAGAAAGATATAACGTAAAACGACGGAGGAAGACAGCCAATGACAATGACAGCCGACAAACGATTGATACAGACCAAAGATTATAAATCAAGCGGATTGTCTATCATTTGTCAAGCGCCGATACCCTCATGACGTAACTACAGATGCGAGTCTCCCTCAAGGTTCCTAGAGTTAATAGGTATTGTCTGGTAATGGGTAACTTGATGACGCATCTTGGGTGCCTTATGGAGATATGCATTATGTTGCGGCACCCCAGACCCAAGTTATCGTCTTTACCCCTCCACACATATGCAGTTTAACTAAAGTTGTATGAAGAGGGGATAGTTTTTGAGAAGTTTCCCTTCCACCACGTGTACGGCGCGGACATGATTTTTTTTTGTAATTTAAATTTTTTTTTTTTGTATATCATGACATATTGTATACATACATAAGTAATTTATCTCACTACCCAGGTACCCAGAAAAAACTAAACTGAAAATGGAAACGAGATTTTTGAGAACTTTGTGACTTTGTCCCGCTTTGGATCCGGTCACTTTAGGTTTTACTATACATTAAATTACAGTCTAATTTTTCCCAAGATAGATTTTGCCAATGACAACTTTGAAACATAAACAATGCCTCTTATTGGTCGCAAGAAGCCGTGAATGTAAAAGGATACCTCACCTGCAAGGACACAGCATTTTGCGACCAATCAGAGCCACGCGGTAATGTATGTTTCAAAGTTGACAATAGCTGTGTTCCGTTATCAACTGCCAGTACTGTGCTGATTTTACTGTCATTTGCCGTTCCGATTTCAACAGCGTATTCTTGTCATTGATTCTTGTGGTCATTCAGTACTAAATTGACTGAATCCAGTGTACTGAAAACAATATCGGTACGGCGTCCAATAAGTTCAGTACTGACAGTTGATAAAAAGTGTGCTTGGTGCACGCTCGTTCGCGTTCGATTATTAAAAAAAAAAAAAAACTTGAAGCTTCTACTCCTAATACAACAATATACTATTTTTATTGCTAATTATTATGTTTATTTATATTACAATATTATCCTAGTAACAATCTCAATTATAGTTGAAATCTCAGCCATGGCACCTAAACCAGTTTCACCACAAATAAGTGTTTTTTCTATCACAGGAATTTCTATGTAACCCCACGATTTCAAAGTGTCCAGTTGGGTCCGGGTGATGGGATGCTGATACATTTTGGTGTTCATTGCTGGGCAAAATATTAGAGGTTTTTTGAGGTCCCAAGCTCGGACCGCGCAGAGTAGAAGGTTGTCACATATGCCCTAAAATATTTTGTAATAATTATTGGTTGCTTTAACTTTGTAATGTAATTACATTTGCTATTTTTGCAAGGCTATTAGCATCAAGTGGGGCAATTAGAAATAAATCTGCCCATTTGGCTAATTCGATGTGCAATACATCATCCCCGCGTTTTTGCCAAGCATTCCATTCGTCTGAATCTGAAAATATGTCTACCCTCTCTGGAATTTCCTTGTCATCGAAAAAATGCTTTGCGCTTTCAGTTGTTACAACCCTTAGCCCAATTGGAACTTTTTTTTGATCAAATAAAATAAATAAATCGTTTAGTAATTGAGGAAGTTTGATTGTGGCAACGCTGCCAGTGCACCCGATGAGAATATTGACCATATTTATTGTTTTTCAACCAAGTCTGAAAAGCCCAATTTAGACCACTCTTCTTTAGTCATGAGATTGTTTTTCATGCGGCAATCAAGGTATTCTGGAAATATAACTCTAGCACAGTGAGTTGAAACAATCAAAAAGACTAAAGTTACCTTTGGATTCTAATCTGCAAGCGGAATTCTTGCTGTCCTCTTTGGCCAAACACTTCATGTAAGCGATCATGGATTGTTTGCACAGGCCTTCGTGGTCCAAGGGGAAACTGCCCTTTTGGGGCGGCGACGGCTGAAATAGTTTTTGGCCAAAGGTCATAGACGACATGAATGGGATGGTTGATGATAATTTATTTATTGCAAATTGTTAATGTTATTATTTTTAAAAAATCTTAGGTTAGGAATAGGATTTAAATATGACAAGAGACTTTTTCAGAAGGGAGTGACTACTGCATTGTCCAGACAGTGGTGACTGAAAACTATCTGCACTGACCAGACAGTGCCGACTTTGTAATTTCTATTCTGTAAAAATTGACACTCTCAAGTCTCAGACTCTTAAGCACCATTAAAAAAACACTAATTTTGTCGAGCATTTTGCACACCTAATACAAAAATACAGTGCAGATGGTTTTTAGTCGGCACTGTCTGGACAGTGCAGTAGTCACTCCCTTTTTGAGAATTGTCCTATTCGATTTGTAAGGCAGTTCAGTTCAGCCCCCCGATTCTCAACCTCTAGTCGCAACCTATCGACCCCGACTTCCCATTGCTTTTCTACAGGGAGTCGGGACGTTACGTATCGACTTAGCGATTGAGAATCCGTACCCAGGATCGATCTAAGTTCTGAGTTATTCAATTCGATTTGGGTTGTAAAGAACAGAAATGAAATCAAAATCTTAATATTTTATTTAATTTTTTTTTATTTACACTTAAAAAAATTTAATTAGGTACTTAAACTAACTCTCTTCCCCACTATCCATTTCTTCATCATTCCCACTGGAAATTTTCTCGAAGCCTTCCCCTTTAGTCCATTTAGCTCTAAGTATCAACTTGAAAGTGGCCAATTTGTGCTCTAAAAGCTCTAAAATCTTCGCCTGTTCCGGACTCAGAACACCACCCTCTTTGCACACTTCATAGTCTTTAATCAAAGTAACAATTCCTCTGTCTAACTTTGTAGGCATTCCTAGTTGTCTCAAATAAGGCTCTATTGCATGCGAGAATTGCTTTAGAGGGCCTTCATTTAGAATAACAGTTTGGGTGGCTTTGAAACCTGACCTGGCAAACTCTTCTACGGAATAATCTTGGAACCAATCAGCTACTTCTTTTTTGGTGCAATCTGTGAATAGGAGGCCGCACTGGCCTTTGAGGCACTCAGAAAGTTCGTGTAGGCCTTCTTCAGCTTCTTCTTCTTTAGTCCTGCCCAGGCCTATGGCGATCACTTTGTTTTTACCAAAGAAAAATCTGCTCGGTTTCCATTGTTCTCGTACTTCTTTCATTTTTTCATTTCGCATGTTGTTGAACGTGAACACGTAGATGCTTTTGTATTTTTCGACGCAATTTCGGATGTCTTCGACGATTTTTTGCTTTAGGGCTAGGCCCTTTTTGTCTGTTTTTGTTAAGGAGACTGCGAAAATAATGTTTGGGTTAGTTATATTGGTTTTTCGAGTGATTAGTGAATATTACTTACTTTTCTTGTCCCTTTTTGATTTAGGCATCTTGTTTTAGGCACTAGATGAGGTAAAAATTAGTGTAAATGAGGTATTCTATTAATTTATGTTTAGAGGAGGTAAAATAAACACGTTTCACATAACCTCAACTTTGACAAGCACGTGTGTGCCCAGTGTTGCCAGATGGATTTTTTTGCCGACAGTAGATTGGGATAACAGAAAATTTGCTTGCGACACAGTAGATTTTTAGCTAATGAATTTTTTGGCAATATTTTAAATATAAAACAAAAATAGCTAATTTATGAATATGAAAATATATTATAATTAGAACCGGCTTCTCGAACCGGCTCGTTCATCTTTAAAAGATAAACTTGCTGCAAAAAAATTTCCGTTGAGATTACAGATTGCGTTTTTACCCGTCAGATTGTATGTATACCTGACAGTTTATTAAAAGATGAAGAAACCGGCCTTCAAAAAAAAAACAACCTTCCTCTCTAGTAATTTGGCTAGTGATTTCATGTGTGCTCTCGTTTGAATTATACTCGCTCTTGAAGCACTCCCGCAGAGATCTGTGACGTTATCGCCCAGACGGGGAGCGTCCTGGGAGCAATGATGCCGGAAATGTCATGAGTTCTGAGTTGGAGTGGAGCCAGAGCAGATTTTTGTCACATGATCTTGGAGTTAAGAGTAATTTGTAGGACTGGGAATAATTTTGTATTTTCCCAAAACCAGTAGTTCTAGAAGTTAAAAAGTAGAACAGTAGATCATGGGTGAGAACAGTAGATCTACTCTACTAAACAGTACATGATCTGGCAGCACTGAGTGTGCGTTTGTTTTGTTTGTTGTATTCGGGGCAGCACTTCATGCTCTGAGGCGTTCGGCGTTCGTTTATAAGCGTTATATATGGGTGTATCTGGGTGTCTGCACGAATCTGAAATTTTACAGCTTACCGTGCGTTCGGTATTTTGATATGAGTTCTCCGAGCATTAATTTACCGTTCGTTTATTTTAAGTATTTACTCGGTGCAGGCTCATTCACGCTCGTTTATTTAAGGGTGGGTTCCGTTGTCTAACCTGGTTAACCGGTCGGTAAAACATCACCGCCGGTTGCCTTGGTGACATGTTTGACATAACCAACCGCATTCCGTATAGACAGGTTTTTCAGGAACCAGACATTACGGAACGTGTAACCGTTACCAAGGTTGGCAACGGAACCCAGCGTAAGTGACACTTGTGACTGTGACCGCGAATTTACGCGCGCGTTCGCGACGCCATTTTAGGCGTTTTCATTCTGCGCCGTATAGTGCTCCGACCGCTCCATATAACTCCGAGTGCTCCGTCCGGTGTTCCGACTGTTCCGCCTGAACTGAAACGTGACATTTGTGAAATTGACATTTTAGACAATGTCCGAATTTGACTTTGACGGCAACGAAACGCCTCCGCTAGCGCTCATTCCGGGGCTGCGTTCAAAAACGGCTAAAGCCAAGCCAAAATTGGCATATTGCGTTCAAGTTCGGCTCCAGCGTGCCAAAAACGGTTGGCTTTATACGTTCAGAATCGGCCGCGGTAAAGTAACTTTTGGAGGTGCTTTTAACTGAGTCTAGAAATGGTTATACGAATTTTGATTGGATGAGACCAAATTCAATATGGCGTGGCGGCCAGCAAATTAGTTTTGAATATGTGTTTTCATGCATATTTTAATTACTTTGCTTCGAGTTTTGCTTGCAGCTTTGATTTTGATTATTCAATAAAATATTTGTAGGCACGTAAACTATTGAGTTGGGCAGAAACTAGATATTTTTTTGGGTTTTTTCGTCCATGTGTGGACGCCACGCCATCTTGAATGTCACGTGGTTTGGATTGCCTAATTGAGACACGATATTTGGCGTTCCAGCAAATTCACACCCAATTTGGCATTGCCGGTAGAAGGGGAAAAGTAGGTTTTGGCATTAGCATTGCCAAAGCCCTCTATATTGTCTAACGACAAGCCGTGAAGTGCACAATCTGGCAACGTGTTGTGTGGTCCGATGGTTTTAGAGGTTTTTACGAGGTTAGGTGTGTCATATTGTGCAATAAGCCGGTAAAAATATCAAATATTCGCCAATAAATAGTTTAAATAACTAAAGTATATAATTTTTAAATTATTGCAAAATAATTCTGTGTATATTAAATCAAGGGAAAAAGTCAGGGTGAGTAAATAAACATTATGCATAGAAAAGTTGGTTGATACTTTTTATCTGATATTTGAATTTCAATACTAATAAAATAGGAATAATGTCGTTAATTTTAGGTGCCCAGACACTGCTGCGTCCCTGGCTGTACTTCAAATTATGCAAGTGCAATTAAACATGATGCAATGAAATCCACATTTTCCTTTCCAAAAGAGGAACACATTCGTCAGCAATGGATTCGCTCCATTCGCAGGGACAATTGGGAGGTTTCCAGTGGTTCAGTAGTTTGTGAAGAACATTTTGAAATATCGGAAATAATAAGAGTCGAAACATATAAAAACAAACAAGGAGTTTTGAGTGAATTTCCACTTAAGAGGCCAAGATTAAGTGAAGGTGCAGTGCCCCATATTTTTCCTAATCAGCTTAAATATTTGTCAAAATCTTTAGCGACTTCTTGGGTTGATCCTGAAGAAAGAAGAGAAAAAATTCGAGACAAACTACTTCAGGAAACACAGACTTTCTTGAAAAGTGATAAAATAGAGAGTTTTGCGGAATTTCTTCAAATTTTTAAATCAAAAGTCTGTTTAGAACAGTGGGATTTTAAAGTTAAAGGAGAGAAAGTTTACTTTTTTTTATTAAACCTGTGTGTTGGTGACTTGGACTGTGAAGAAAGTGTTAGTGTTGTTTCCAGTATTATTATTGACAATACACTCACTGTACAAGTCTTTATTGATGCGAATGTGGCGTATCATATTATAAAATGTATTACACAGTTGCTCTTATTTTTGCTAATATTATTTTAAACAATTTCGTAAAAAATAAAAAATTGAAATTCACAGGAATAAAAATTCAAACCTAAAGAAAAGAAAACTTGCTACTTATCAATAATAATAGTTGTAGGTTATGTTAGATATTAAAAAATTCACTTAAATTTTTATTTTTCTAATGTAAATTACACAATAAAATGATTGAAATGCCAAAAATTCTTGTTTTTTATCCTCTTCATACCTATATTCTATTTAAAATTTAAAATCTCAAATTTAATGTTTGCCGCGATACCAGGCGGCCGGACCAGACCGGACCACTTGAAGAGAAATATGCAGCGTTGCCATTTTAACTTCACGGCTTGTCGTTAGACAATATAGAGGGCTTTGGCATTGCCGTCTTTGAACGCACTCCGGAACTGCCCTTATCATAAACATATAAACCGACCCGGCGAGCCCGGCCGTGATCGTGAATCGAAGTGCAAATTTAATGGATTATCAGTGCAGTTTCCAGCGTTAAATTACCGCCTTTTTGGCCAGTCATGGTGAATCTATGGTTTATTAGAGTTGAGTCTTCATTCAGACACTACAAGGTGAGCAACGATACCTACCTCAAAATTTGATATAGTTGTCCAAGAGCTCCCTGCCGAAATAATTGCTGAGGTGGCTGATGTGCTACTCAACTCACCAGTCACCGACAAACATGAAGCCTTAAAAACTGCATTAATGGATCGGTTGTCTGAGAGTCCCGAAGCCCAACTCCACCGAATGTTGACAAACTTGGAGCTTGGTGATAGAAAGCCTACGCAACTGCTAAGGCATATATGTTCCCTGGCCCCACCAGGGGTGCGATTTTCGAAACCTCGCACCCTAGGGGTGCGTTCGAAATTACCCTGGGCGTCACACCGAGTGCACACCAGTCATGAATGTGCATGTGATGCCCAGGGTGATTTCGAACGCACTCCAGAGCCGGTATTCTCGTTCTCGAAAACGCTCACCGCTTTTTAGTCGCTCGGCACTTTTAATGTAAATTTACATATGAAGTGCCGAGTGACTCAAAAGCGGTGAGCGTTTTCGGGAACGAGAATACCGGCCCAGGAGTGGGCGACAATTGTCTTGAAGGTAAGATGGCTTGACTTACTACCTTCTTCAACCCAACGTTTGCTCTCCGTTCTACCGGAGCAAACCCTAGATTCTGTGGCGGACAAAGTTATGGAATTTGGTCCCACAGTTATGAGCGTGGCAGATCCCGAAATCGCGGTGCAAATGGGCCCCCGTGTGACCGGTCCTCAACTCCAGGCGCAGACTCAGAAACAGGATGAACCTTGATGTGCTCTCTAGAAACGCCCTGGCCCCAAGCTCTTCTTATGATTCTACTGGGCATGCACACCATGTGGAGAGAAAATCTCCAAGCTTCACCAGCTGAAATGGTTTCGGTACCTCCCTCCGTATCCCTGGGGAGTTCATCGCTACACAAGACGCACCCGAGCCAAGCGCCAGCTTTCTCCGAGAGCTGCGCTCCCTATTCAGAGCGCTCAGGCCTGTCCCGGCCTCAAGACACACTTCACGACGCCTGTGGGTGTTAAAAGACTTAAATACATGTGAGTTTGTTTTATATATTATTAATAATAATAGGGCACGTCAAGAGCATCAAAAATTCACTGCAACCTCCATACACTGGCCCACACCGAGTCGTGCATCGTGTGAACGACTGCACATTTGTCATTGATGTCAATGGCGAACACAAAACCATCTCGACAGACCAACTAACGCCTGCTTCACAGCCAAGGCCCCTGGCGCGGCAAACTCTGCTGCCAGCTCCCCGACAATCGCTGCCCTCTCAAGGGCCGCCACAAGCTACGCCACAGCAGTCGGCCTAACCGAGGCCACAGTCAGCTGCACGCAACTTAGCCCACAAGCTGCGCCATTCTATCTGGCTGCGCGCCTGCAGCCACCACCAGCTAGACCGCCATTAGATCAGTGGAGTCACCACAGTCCAGTGAGCCTTGGTGAATGAATGAATGACTCCACGACTGCAAGAGTTAGATCCTACTCCAGAGCAGGACATAGTACCCCGCCAGCCAGTACCGTCGCCCAGAGGCGCCCCTAAAAAAGTTTCATTTTCATTCCCTTCTCCCAGAGCCTCGAAGGTCATTGGGAGGGGAGTAGCTGTGTCGCCCGAAATTGCCACCCCTGTGCGACGCTTCTGTCACCAGCAAAAACAGCGACCTCTATGCTGCTCCGGCGATTGCGCAAGCTAACGGAAGTCGTTGGACAGCACCGCCATGACGCCCTGAAGAGCCAGTCGTTCCAAGTCTGTCGACAGTCACTATCAAGTCTGTATCGAGTCACTAACTAATCGGTTAGAAGTCGTCGTCGCAACCTTTTGTAATTCGTTCTTATTCAATTCAATATTTTATTGTAACTTCTAGTAAAATGATTTAGATGTAAATTTTACTTTAACCTAAATTCTGAAATGTGACTCGTTAAAATAAGTTAAAATAAGCATTAACATCTTTTAATCGACTCTCTGGCTTTTCCCACTAAAACAACCCCATCCATTTTACATGGAAAAGCCTACTATCATATTAATGAATTTTTAAATGAAAAATTTTAATTTTGTTTGTTTCATTGTTTTGTTTTGTTCTGACCGCAACCTTTATGTTTTTTCTGTATTGGCTGTACCTTCTATATGACTCTATAGTTTGATGTAGTAAAAATTGTACATGTGTTGCTTAGGATTATGCTTTGACATTTATGTTTATGTTTATTTTTTATTTTATTGATTGTACCTCTTTTTGTTTTTTTATAACCCGATAATTTTTAATTACTTGCACATTATTTAAGATCATGCTTTGTCAATGAAATTTATTTTTCCGACAATAAAGTATATTTTGATTGATTGATTGATTGAAATCCAAAGATCCACTTCTGATTTATTTTCTCTTATAAGAGTCTTTATTCTATAAACCCTGTAAGTTTCAAGTTGCTGCGATGCCTGAAAATATTTTTCAAAAATTATTCTGTGCCATTCTGGAGGATTTATTAGTTTTTTCGATCAGCTTTAAAGAAGATTCTTAACTTTGCTTGTGATAGTTGCCGTCGGAACTGAGCGCAACCTTGTGAAGCTGATATCCATCGGAGACCAAAACGGAGGAAAACCTGCGTCAAGCAGTCAAGCTAAGCTAGTCTGTACCTGATTGCCATAGCCAACACAACGCTCTGTTTCCTTGACTTAGTATAACTTTCATTCTACCATTTTTAAGTGGGTGTTAAAAATGAAACAAAAATCTTGACCAGTAAAAAAAGCTTTTTTTATTTCTATTCACACAATTACAAGAAAACAACAATCGCATTCACAAAATAATTCTTTACAATTCTGTACAATTCCTTACGTTTTGCAAAAATACAATCTGGAGGCGCTGGAGGCTAATCAATTGTAAACGCACCTTAAAATTACATTTAGCAAAAAGACTAGTAGTAACTTCTATTGGATTAAAGAGGCTGGTATAAAATAAATAATTTGCCTTAATAATTAATAATAATGAGCACAAAAAAATAAAATAATATACGTAAAATTAATTATAATATAATTCTATTCCTATTTTTCAAGAGTTTTTTGTATAGGTGTCATCATCAATCCCTTTGAGAGCATTTGTTCTTCCAAGTCTTTGTCTTCGTGTGAGTACCTTAAATTAATTAATTAGTTATTCAATAATAATTAATTAGAGTCCCAGAAAATTGTTCGAAAATAAATGTTCGAACGAAAAATTCTTCGAAAGGAAAATTATTCGAACGGAAAATTATTCGAAAAGAAAATTTTTCGAAAGGGAAATTGTTGGAATAGAAAATTATTCGAAAGGAAAATTGTTCGAAGGGAAAATTGTTCAAAAGGAAAATTGTTCGAATGGAAAATTGTTCGAAAGGAAAATTGTTCGAACAGAAAATTGTTCGAACGCAAAATTGTTCAAAAGGAAAATTGGTTCGAATGGAAAATTGTTAATACATGTACTTATACGCCTCGGAAACGTAAATCCACTAAAAACATGAAAAACCTTTTTTTAAATACAACAGTCGAAATTTCAATTATTTTTGAATCTCCGATTGCTTGCTTCGCTCACCGAATCTCAAAGAGAAGATCCGCGGAACCGTAAATTCGGCGTTGGTACAAAAGAGCGCAGCTCAAAAGCGACCGGACAAAAGGGCACAGGTCAAAATATTATTGGCAACCAGTACACTTCAAACCAGTATTAAATGAACTGTAACGAAACTAACCAAAAATATGCAAACTAACCCATCCACCTAATGCGTGCTAGTCCTTGTATGTTAATGTTAAATTTAAAAAACCAAGCGCCTCCTATTGTCAAGCAGTACGCTTTTAACCAGTACTAAACGAACCGTGACAAAACTAACAAAAAATTGTAAACTAACCCGTTCACCTAATGTGTGCTAGTCCTTGTATATAATAGTGAAAAATCCAAGAATTAAGAATCAGGGACAAATATTAAGAATTAAGGAATTGTAACTCCGGCCATAGATTCATCTACGATTCACAGTTAAACTATTGATTTTATTGAAAAAAAAAAATCCATTTGAACAATTTTCTTTTGAACAATTTTCCGTTCGAATAATTTTCCGTTTGAACAATTTTCCGTTCGGATAATTTTCCGTCAGAATAATTCCCCGTTCGAACAATTTTCCGTTCGAACAATTTTCCATTCGAGCAATTTTCCATTCAAACAATTTTCCGATCGAACAATTTTTCGTTCGAACAATTATCCATTCGAACAATTTTCCGTTGATGAATTTATTACCAATAATAATTACCTTAGTCTGTCCTCTTCTAAGACTGCAATAAGTGTATCACGTTTAGCAACAATTTCCATCATTTCATTAATAATGCTTTCTTCTATTTTTAAATCTGCTTCAGTTTTGTTTCCATCTAAAAATTATAATTTGAAATAAACTTCACAAATATTGACAATTAATATTTACTTGATTCAAGCCTTTCTCTCAAGTCAGCTTGTAGCCTTGCATGTCTGTCTTCCAGCTCCAATTCCTGGCCTCGCACCATAAGTTCTTTTTCATAGCGCCTCAATTCTGTTCTGTCCCTCATCAAATCAAACCATTCTTGCAACAACTCGCCTTCGTCTTTGAGGCAACTGCCATCGTCTTCGCCTCGCAAGGCTTTTTCAACTTCGACGCCTCTTTGTTCTAATTCTCTCGTTTTTACTTCAGTTTCTTCTAATTTTCTTTGGATTTCTTGGGCCATGCGATGCCTAGAAAAGATTCAAATAAAATTTTGTTGTAATTAAGAAAAAACTGTTACCGTTTCAGTTGAGCCTGTCTGGATACTCGTCTAGCTTTGCCAGGCTTTTTGCTACCACCTGGACCCGCTGCAGATTGGTCTAGTGATTGTTGCAATTCGCCGTCGCTACTTTCGTCCTTGATACTGTAGTTGACTGGTAACGGTGGTATTGGTGGCGGAGTGGGTTCTTGGGGGCGCTTCATGTTGATTTCTGATTGGCTTTTGCGAGGTGGTTTTGGTTCCTAAAGAGGATTTATATTTGAAACTGTAATTTGTATTATAAAAAAAAGCAAAGCATAAAATCGCTCATTACTCAATAAATATTCTACAAATTCTGATAGATATTGTGGCGCGTTCGCCAGCATGTACAGAATCCAACTTGGAATCTAGAAAATACTGATTTTTTTGAGCAAAGAGATTATCGCATTTATTCTGGATTTAACAATGTAAATGTAATGAGTAAATTACTTAATAAATTTAGTTTAATAGTAGTTTCAAGTTTAAGTTACGCTGTTATACGATTAAGATAGTGAATATTGTTAAGAGTTAAGTTGTTTGAATTAATTAGTGAAGTAATCAGTGTCAGAGTGTATAGTAACGTGAAATAAATTATTGTTGTGTTAACTAGACTTTGATTTTGGAACAAACGGACCCAAGATTACTGTCACGCACACCAAAGCAGTGACAATATTTCAAATCTAAACAGGATTCTGTAGATTCTCTAGAAGCTTCCACAATAACATACCTACTCGTTTCCCATAAGCGCAACTAGGGGGGTGCTAAGCACCCCTAAAGCAAAAATTAGCACTCCCATTCGGTATCCCACCATAGTACTACCTACAGTGGCACTACCTAAAACTAATATAAAAATTCAGTGCAACCAAATTTTTTTTTTTTTGTACTTACTTACGTCATCGATGACGTCATAATTTAGAAAAAAGTATTTGTCGTTGATTAATTCATAGAGCACATTCGCAATTATTATTGTTATGAAATAAAAAATTTCAATCGGAACCGGTATTACAATATTACCTTAAAATCAAGACTTACCCTAAAATATACGATTTTCATGTTATATTTAGGATGACGTCATCGAACAAGGTCAGACAATATTGTCAATGTCTATGTTTATTCTTCAGGGTTGTCGTTATGTATGGAAATGGTCTGATAATAATTCAGAACCAGCTTAAAAGAAAAAAAATATTTCCTACCAGGGTCCCTATTCTTGAAACAGGGGAGCAGCGTTCCCGGGAGAACGAGTGTCCCGTCTTTCTCAATGATATGCAAATGATAATATGAGTAACAAAGACGGAATACTCATTCTCCTGGGAAAGCTGCTCCCCTGTTTCAAGAATAAGGACCCTGGGGGTTTTTGGGACTGCGCGATTCAATAGTGGTATTTGCAATGTTGCCAAGTTTACCGTTTCTAAGATGTCGTATGTAACTTGATTTTTTTAAATAGATGCTCCTCTTTATTTTTATTGTAATTAATTCAGCGTCCCAACTTTACTAAAACCCCAAAATGCCAAAACTCCATTTTACTTGGTTTATGAAATATGGCAACACAGATTTTTTGTTGCAAAATGTACAATATTCCGTACCTACCTGGGGGTTTTTAGAAATGCCCGATCCAATGGTGGTATTTGCAATGTTGCCAAATTTACCGTTTCTAAGATGCCGTATGTAACTGCATAGACTTAAACATTACAAATACCACCATTGGACCGGGCATTCTCAAAAACCCCCCAGTTAGGGAATATTATACAAATTTTCCAAGAAAAAGAGGAAAGTGAGGAGCTCATTATAGGGAAATTTCGAAATTTTTCAGGAAGAAATCACTCCAGGGAAAATTCTGAAAAATTGACTTTTTCAAGTAAATTTAAGGAAAATTCATCCCCTTATATTTCAATTTTTTTCTGGAAAACTGGCAAAAAAGGAAAAAAAGGAAAGTCAGGAGCTCTATAAGAAAATTTCAAAATTTTCCAATGGTTAGTTCTGAAAAAATGACTTTTTCAAGTGAAATTGAGAAAAACTCATCCTCTCACATTTCATTTTATTTCTGGAAAACTAATAAAGCAAAACTTGTGAAATTTTTCCACGATCAAGAAGAAAATGGGGAGCTCATTATAGGAAAATTTTAAAATTTTCTAGTGAAAAATTACTTCAAGGAAAGTCGAGAGAAGAGTTCTGGAAAATTGAGTTTTTCAAGCAAAATTCATCCTTTCACATTTCATTTTTTTTCTAGAAAACTGGCAAAACAAAAATTGTGAATGTTAACAAATGCCTCAATTGTGGTAGTTGTCAACAAAATGCCTCAAAATTTCAACAAAAAAAATCGTAGTGAATCTTAACAATTGCCTCAAGGTGTTAAAAATGTCATTGTCATAAATGTCAACAAAAAAAAATTATCGGTTTTAAGAGAGGGACGTTACACATATTTTTTTTTGTTTGTTTTTTTAAAATTGTGCGGTGAATGTTGGGAAACGCCTTGTTTTGACATGTGTGTCACAATTCACGATGCTACAGAAAAATAAACTCGAAATTTATGTAGCAACACTAATTTTTTAAATTTTTTTCTATATGCGGCATTTGTAGCAACAATATGTAGTGATGTAGCAACAAATTGGATGTTGCTACATAAAGAAAAAATTGAAGCAACACGAATTTGAATATTAAAGAGTTTGTAGCAACAAAATTTCGTATTGCTACAGATCAAAAACCTCGAAATCGCCTATATTTGGATATTGCTACAAAAAATTCCGTATTGCTACAGGTTAAAGAGTTCGGAATGGCTCGAATTTGGGTGTTGCTACAGATCAAAACCCCTTAAACCGGGTGTTGCTACAAAAATTTTTGTGTTGCTACAACCTGAAAATCTCATTTGCATCAAAATCTAGGAATTGAACTGTCAAATTTGGACATTGCTATAAAAAAATTGTGTTGCTACAGACCAAAAACCCCGAAATCGCTTATATTTGAGTGTCGCTACAAAAATTTCATGTTGCTACGACCTGAAAATCTCATTTACATCAAAATCTAGGAATTAAACTGTCAAATTTGGACGTTGCTACAAAAATTTCCTGTTGCTACAGATCAAAAACCCTGAAATAGCTTATATCTGGGTGTAGCTACAAAAAATTCTATGAATTAATCTATGATTAAACTTTTTCTCTAAGTTATGACGTCATCGATAACGTAAGTAAAAACCTTCGTGACGTGCAACGAACTATATGCTTGTTTGAATTTTCAGACATAAAAAAAGCCTTTTTTTTTAAAAAAAAAGCAAATGATGACGTAGTACAAACTCTCGTGAAGCTAACTTTTTTTTACGCGTCTCATTTCTTTTCCATCAAACCTCATCAAAAAAAAAAATAAAAAAAAAATGGTGCTGCAGCACCCCTCAATTTTGGAGCCTAGTTGCGCTTATGTCGTTTCCAATTCTACATTAAATACATATAATCACTAAAGATTTTCTTATTACATTTTAGCTACAAATAAATCAAGCTTCGCCAGTTGAAATTCAGTTAAAGAGGCAAAATGAAGTTCTTACACCTCTCTATGTCAAATTCAACTTCTATATTGAAATTCAATTTCAACTTTAGAAGAGGCAGAAGTAAAACTTCCATGCTCCGAACTCTCACTTCAATTTCATTTATTGTTAATCATCTTTCTCACCTACAAAACACAACTCAAAAACAAAACCATGCCATTAAAAACAAAGACACTAGTGCAACCAATAATCAAACAAACAAATAAAGACACAAAACAACAACCGTATAATTCTTACATGTTTGTTCAAGTCCAAACTCGTTAAGGACTGCAATAATAAAAAAAAATGAAATTCTACTGAAATTGCATCTTGAACAATTACCTTTGATTTTGGCGACAATCTAGCAAACAATCCTCCAGTGGGACTTTTTTTGGTAAAAATCCCAGCTATAAGCTTGGTAATACTTTTCCTCCTCTCCCCATCTTTGCCCTTCTTTTTATCACTCATACACAAAAGATTCGGATCAGATTTGCATATTTTTTTGTTTGCATCCTCTTGCTGCTTCCCACTCTTCAATACACTCAAACTTTTGGGTATTTCCGATACGGATTTGGGCCTCAGTTTAAATGAATTACGTTTTTTGGTTAAAGTGTCATTGGAGTACAACAACGAATTCCTTCTTTCAGTGTTTAGTACTAAAGACTCAATACTTTCTTGCACACACTTTTTGCTATTGAATTTTTCTTTTAGCCTATTAATTTTGTCTTCAGGGCTAAGGCCTAAATCCTCATTAGACAACAAACGAGCTCTTGCTCTGGCATTTTCTTTCATTTTTTCAGCAGTTTTTGTTAAGTCTGAGGGCCTGTTGTAACGCGGAGGCGCTTTAGGAGTTGTAAACAAATTGAAGTTTTCTGGGTTTGTTAAAGGGGTTTGTGGGAGTTTGTTTGTGGAAAAAACACTTAGAGGTCTAGTTGTGTTTGATAGTAAATCAGGGGTGGAATTGTTGTGGGGACTCAAACTGCCTAAGTTATTTCTATTTCGCTTTTTTCTTTCTAAACTTTTGTTTTCGGCTTTCATTTTATTCATAACCATTTCTTCTATTAGTTTTTTGTTAATGTCACGCTCTTTTTTGATGTTTTCTTTTTTGTACAATATTGGGGCAAGATCTAATGTAATGTTTTTAGGTGGAGTTTGTTCTTCTTCTTGAATCAAATCGGGCTTTTGTTGAGGCGAGTCACTTTTGCTTTTTCGTCTCGATTTTCTTATGTCAATTGAATCGCGTGCGTTGCCAAATTCAACTTTCGACTGCAACCTTTGACAGTGTTCTTCGTATTGTATTTCTTGTTTGACTTTGGCCAATTTTTCTTCTAGGCGTTGCTTTTGGAGGTTTTCAATTTTAACAGCCGGATGTATTTCTGTTATATTTTTAACAGTCGAGTCACTCTCAGTAGTCGTATCGATTATAACAAGACTATCCTCTTCGTGATCTGTTAAAGCTTGTTTTTGTTTCAACTTCTGCAAATCTTGAGGTTTCAAATCAATCACCTTTCCACCGAAATTATTTACAATTTCACAATAACCTGTATTCTCTTGTTCTTGTTCTTCATTTTTAAGCAACACGTAACCATTTTGACTGTCTACAATACCATCATCGCTGCTGGTTTCTGTACCAGTGTCCATATACTCAATGTGATCCAAATTGCCAGTGAGGGCATTATTCAAAGCTTCAGTTAAAATTGTTTTGCCACACACGTGCTCTTCTAATTGAGCAATTTTGGGTGGTTTCTTTTTATCAGACTCAATGTCCATATCGATACTGTCTGAGGCGTTTTCGTCTCTGGCCCAATCCGATAGCTCAGTTTCAGTTAGAGCTGTTGGACTACTTTTACCACTAGAATCTTCTTTTACTTTCACCTGTAAAGCTTTATGGATGTCGTTGTGCAAATTGGGCAGGGATTTTGGCTGATTTAAAATCTTCTCTTTAGTTGTAATAGTTTTTTGAGCTTCCACGCATAAAGAATCCAAAGCCATTTCTTCCTGAGCTTCGTGCACTTCAACTCTGGGAATATGAAAGCTGCTACCTTCGTTTTCACTTTGAGATGTCAAAGACAAACTGTCTGAGGATTGGCTCTTGTTTTTAGACCAATCAATAGATGGTACCGTTATAGAGGCTTCATGTATGGGACTTCTTGGTCTTACTTCACTATTTTGATCGTCTTTGTTTTCAGTTATGGTGGTTATTGTGATGTCAGGGGGTGGTTTGACTGTTGCTTGCCTTTCGTCTAATTTATTGCAGAACATTTGCATGCTGGCGCTTACCTCAGGGGCCGGTTTCAATAACTTCTGACAATCGGTTATAGTGTTTTGGAAACTTTTGAATTTAGTGTCTAAAGTTGAAGCACTACCACTCTTTTGTATGCTATTAGTGCCACTTTCACCAAGCAAATATTTCTTTTTCAATTCTAGCGATACTTTTGCGGCAATTCCTCCCGTGCTTTGGGTGCGATTCAAAGCGTAACTTTCGGTTGCTTTAAATTTACTAAAGTTACTGGGTACCAGAGGGCTGAGTTTGAGCTCGACGTTCGGTATGTAACCGGTGGTAACTTGAATGCGTTTCGGACAATTTGAGCTTCCGCGGGTTTTGGTCACGTGGAAATCGTTCAGGGCGATCGAGGGCAGCTCGCGAGTCGGCGTCGGATCGTCCTGAGCGAATTCTGAGTCCGTAGAAATTTCCGTGGCGGAATTTTGAATTTCGCTCGAAGAGGAAGATTCTTCTGAAACCATCTGGAATAGAAAACAATTAGATTTTATTTGAGATAGTGAAAGTGGAAAGCATGAGTTAAGAAATGTTATAGGCAGTGGCGGATCCAGGATTTTTTTTTAGGGAGGCGCAGGTTTTTAATACAAATGAAGTTGTGCCCTATTCTTTATGTCACCCCTAGGGGTTAACTACCTTGGAATTATAGTGTACACACATATGGATTCCCTAATTAAAAAATTCCTCATTTTTATATCATACCGACTCATTAATGACTTAATTGCTGTGAAAGTAAGGAAGTGGAGGTTCAAAAATGAGTACTCAACACACATTCTCTCTCACAACTTAATTAATTTCAATCCCATCTTAATATAATTAGGCTTCAATTGAAGCCACTTAGAATCTCTACAAATCTCCCCTGAATGATTTCAATGCAACATCAATAGGTTTGCAGCTGTAAAGTCTTTTGACTTAGATTTTTATTCAAAATGACACCAACACACATTTTGTCTCACAACTTTGTTAATTTCGATCTGATCTTAATGTAAATAGGCTTCAATTGAATTCCAATTAAATTTACTATAAATCTTCTGTCAATGATTTCAATGCAACTTCAATAGTTTTGCAGCTGCGATGCCTCAAAGTCTTTTGACTTAAAACATGACATAAACAGTAAAACTCATGAAATGTACTTTTCACTCCTCAGTTCAAATTTTAATTCATTTTCAGTAAAATTCCAGTGGAATTCAGGATTACAGTAGGATACCATGAGATTAAGATATCGTGGGATTCTATTAAATTTGGGATTCTCGTGTACACATTTTCAAAGTGCTTCACCCCTCGTATCACCCTGTATATTAACTCATTGAATAGCTCTGTTTGTGCTTATTTTAATGATACAGTAGACTCGCGATATAGTGAACATGCTGTATAGTGAACTACTCTAAATAGTGAACAGGCAATTTTTTGTTAATGCATTCTGTACAGTGAACAAAGTGGTTCTCGAAATAATGAACCCAACACGTCGATACAGGAAAACGATTTTAAACGTTTTGTTTACTTTTCTGTAATCGGATCACAGCAGTTTCTTGCGAATTGTGATTGCATCAGGTCGTTTCGCGAGTGAAATATGGCAAAAAATAGAAAACATTTAAGCCTAAATGATAAAGCCAAAATATTAGAAGACTTAAAGAAAGGTGTCGGAGTGACTGTTTTATCCAAAGAATATGGTGTTGCTAAATCAACTATATGCGCTATTCGAAACAGAAGGGTTAACATTTTGAAAAGGGTCAACAATACTTTTAGCGGACCAGGAAAAATGAAAACCTTAAGACACTCAGAGTGTCCACGAATGGAAAAGGCTCTGTATAGGTGGTTTCTCAAACAAAGAGAGAAGAATCTTCCCGTGACCGGTTTAATGATCCAAGAGAAGGCTAAGCTGCTCCACAATGATTACAAAGAATCTCCTTCTTTCCATGCAAGCAGCGGCTGGTTGCAAAAATATAAACGGCGATTTGGAATACGTTACTTAAAGATTTCAGGCGAAAAATTATCATCACAGCCTGAGCTTGTTGAGCCTTTCAAAAGAAATCTAGAAGCAAAAATTAAAGATCTTCAACTGTCGAAAGATCAGATTTACAACGCCGACGAAACTGGCCTATATTGGAAGCTTCTTCCTGGAAAAACATATGTAGCTCGCGAGGAGAAAACAGCTCCAGGACGAAAAACCGAAAAACAAAGAGTGACCTTTCTAGCATGCACAAACGCGGCAGGTACGCACAAATTAAAACCACTAGTGATTGGAAAGTCCAAAAATCCTCGATCATTTCGAAATTTCAACATACCTGTTCATTATCGAAATTCCAAAGCTGCTTGGATGACAGCAACAATTTTTGGAGAATGGTTTCACAAGATGTTTATTCCAGAGGTAAGTTTCGCCATTCGCAATAGGAAAACATTTTAAATTCTACCATTTTTACGAACAAAACGACATCATCTGTGTAATTTCGAATCCTATAAATTTGTTTTTGACGCGATTACATATTTCCCTTTCTTGCTGTTCCTGCTTGTGATTTAAGGTTTTGTTTTAACTTGTTTCAGGTGACAAAGTTCCTACGTAGACAAAATCTGCCAGTTAAAGCCGTCCTTTTGTTAGACAACGCATCAAGTCATCCACCCCCTGAAGAACTAAGAAGTGATGATGGTTCCATTTTTACTCTTTACATGCCACCTAACGTTACTCCATTGATACAACCGATGGACCAAAATGCGATTCGTTTAACAAAACTTTTTTATCGCAAAAATTTGTTGTCGCAGATTATTGGTACCGATCAGGATATAGGAGAAACTCTGAAATCTCTTTCTTTAAAAGACGCTGTTGTACATTTGGCCCTAGCATGGGAAAATTTAAAGCCTGAAGTCATAGAAAAATGTTGGCACAATCTACTTTCGCCGTTAGCCAACGAAGATGATGATGATGAGGATGAAATTCCTTTAAGTGTTCTACGAACTCAAATAATGAATGGGGAAATCAATAGAGTAAGATCAGAAATTGTCGATTTACTGCAAGCTGTCAATCCCGAAGTGAACATTCGCACCATGGATGTAGACGACTGGAATAACGATATTTTGCCGGATAAAGAAAATAAAGACCACAGCGAAAGCGATGAAAATGGTCAAGATCAAGAACGGGACGAAGTTCAGGTAATGAGAGAACGTGTGACAACTGAAATTGCGATGAAGTCAATTAACAACGTAATTCAATGGGCTGAAGAAAATGAAGTAGAATACTCCAGTTTACTCGTTTTACAAAACTTAAGAAATGAAATGGTCCAAAAAGGGTTCATGAAACCAAAAACACAAACAAAAATTACATCGTTTTTCGATAAAAAAAAAGAATAAACCACCTTTTAATTAGTACATTATACTTATAACGTTTTTTTCATTGATAATAAAGTTGGTTTTGTAATAACAGCCGTTGTTTTAGTAAATTTTAGAAATATTCCATATAGTGAACAAATCGATCTAGTGAACTGGCTTTGCATTAATTAGTTCACTATATCGAGAGTCTACTGTACCAGCTTAATAGGTCTATCTCTAACAGTTCTCCAGAATAAAAATTATATCTGTTTTAGGCTTGATACATGCATTGTCAGATAAACTTTGCTATTAACTATCTTCAAGATTAATTTTCTGTTTTATGATTCTATTGGCCGGCGGATAAATGGTCGACCAGTGGGATTAAAAATTGCGTTTTTATTAATCAGATTGCATACCTGACATTAGAAGACCAAACCTTATTCATAAGAAACAATTAGTCGTAGAAATAAAGTGAAGCAAATGCTTTTACTCTATCTCCGTCTCTTTTTGCTGCACTAACAAAAGCGTTTGCTTCTGTTTTATTCATATGACCCAATGTGTTAGAAAGAGACCAATCGCCCTTTCATACGTAAAATGATCAGCTAATGCGAAAAAATAAATAAAAAAATACCAGGTGTCCCATTTGAAAATCGAGAGCTATGGAACCGGAAGTGACTGGCAACGCAATTTGGTATAAAAAAACTCAAAAAGTTGAGCTCCTTAAACTTATACAGGGTGTCCGGAATAACTTGTAGTACATTGGGATTTTAGAAATCATTGAAGATACAGGAGTGGACCAAATGGGGAAAAAGTTGCGCAATCAAGTGCCTACTTGGAATAGGCAAAAAAGAAAAAAGTGTGTATGTATTTTATAATTCAAATTGCCTCATATACAGAGTGTTTTTTTATTCAGGGTGAGTTACGAAGCGCGCGGTGGTTCGTATCTCCTATACTAACAGAAATCGAAGAAAAAACTAAATACAAAATTTGTAGATAAACATGAGAACTACATTCCTAAATTATTTTCCAGTATACAGGGTGGCCCAATAACTAGTAGTGACACAAAGTCATATTTTTTTAAATGACTATCCCTGTATATTATGACATTTCTGGAATATTGACAGTTGAAAATTGACTTTTTTGCATCTTTGACAGACTGTAAAACCTGAAAGGTTAATTTTACAGCAAAACCGATTATACATTCTCATCTTATGGCGTTTCCGATTGGTAGATTCAGTACGCACTGAGTGTATTTGTATCTTTTTAATTTTTTTAAATTTTTTTATTAAAGATTTATTTCAGACCTCAAATCAGATTATAATAATCTGGCACAGATGCCTTAATTTATTAATAAATAAGAGATTGACAGAGTAATATATATTATACTAATTAATAATTAACTGATCATGTCTGGTTTTTTCTGTCTTTCAGGTACTTTTTCAGGTTATGTCAACAACTTTCTCATTTCCTTCAAACATAGTCTTTGGGATGCTGTTATCTGTTTCAATGCATTGGGAGATGGGAGAGTCTTGACCTTCCTTCATTCTTGAGAAGTTATTCCGAAACATTTCCCTTGTTCTTAAATTAGAATTATTGTGGACGTCTCCATTTTGTTTCAGTTCCGTACTAGTTTTAATGCAGTTAGTTTGTATTTTATTCATAAGTCTAGCTTGTTCATATTTTTTTATTAGTTCTATTTTTAGGAATGGATAGTCTTTATACAGAGAATCACTTGAGGTATAATAATTTCTAGAAAATATAGTCTTGATTGATTTATTTTGTAGTCTTTGTAGTTTATTTATCACCTCTGCAGTAGTGTTTCCATAGCATGATATTATAGTTATTTATGTATCAAGGGTACTAAGTAGATGATTATGCCCTGAGGGCGACAGTTTTACAAAGCCGAGGGCCTCTGGCCCGAGGGTTCGTAACTCGCCCGAGGGTATATATATATCTATTAGTAGCCGTGGTGCATACAAACTTTTATGTCATACCAGTTGGTTGTGAATAATAAATACTTGGGAAAAAAGTGTCAATTCGCAAATTGTCATCAGTGTGCAAACATCATAATTTTTTGACAAAAATAATATGTTTATCAGCGTAAATTTATATTTTGTTAATAAAGAATAAGTTAATTGATAACTGTTTTTTGCGTCTTTATGCCCGC